AATTAACTTAATTAACTCACAATGGTCCGTGGCTGGACTTGATGTTGACCTTGAACCGAGAAAGGCTGTAAAGAATGAGAGGAAGAAAAATGCGGTTGCCGCCGGCCGGCTCGATTAGAGTATTGTGCAAAAGATCCAACAAAGATTCCTTGAGACAAGAAAGGTTTCGTTTATTATCGGTGGTCGAAGAAGCACTGAATGTAGCTCAAGTAGAGGAAGGACCGTGACGACAGTGAAACTAAAGAACTCGTTTCCGCGAAGGATGGACTGTACAGAGCATCTTGCCATAGAAACAAGACCCCTACTGCAGCAGAGAAACAGGTAAGCTTACTGTACCTAGCTGGCCTTGAGCTAAAAGAATTGGGAGAAGTCGTTTAAGACAATTTACACAAAGAGACTAGTGGTTCCGAGGATAAGGACGGAATCTGATTAACACTTATGATTAACTCGGTACATGTGGTGGGTTTGGCCAGGTACGTGCAGGGACTTGACTGTCATGGAAAGTTCTTGGGCCGCACACGATCAGAAATCTACTTTAGGTGGACAGGAAAAAACATATCATGTTTAAAGCCTATTCAGAAAAACTTAAGCACAAGGTATAGGTTTAAAAGCCCATAAACGTGCAAGGTCTCAGTTCAAGGAGAAATGTCAGGGCATAACGCATTGGTGTCAGAGAGAATTTCGAGTGAGCGAGCTATAAAGGAAGCATGCGAATATTTTTTATGATACCAATGATGATGTCACAGACCTCTCACCTGGCACAAATATATGCCCTACCACTCAGTCTGTTCTGAGTGTTAAAACTTCGGCTTAAGCACAACAACCTACAACTGCAAACCTTACTCAAGAGTCATTCGCTTTTACCGCTCATCAAATTCCTTCACAGAAGGAGTTGGCCCTTGTAGCCAGTTCAGCTACTTCATGGACTAAGAACATTGAAACAGACAATCAGATTTGAATTAAATGTGGCCATATCCCCTTCACAGTTTCTTCCCTTCCATGTCATAAATGAGGAAACAAACCAAGAAATGGGAAGCGACTGAGCAGTGCTGATCTTTAGAATATTAGTGAGGAAGTGGCAAAAAATGTGCTAGCAGTCGTAATCCAGTCCAAATTCCAAAAATTGGAAGGGCTCTGGAATTAAAAACTGTTTCTGAGGGTATAGATGGAGGTGTGAATTTTGCAGTTGTTGACAGTTAGACACAATCTGTTGGAAACAGTAAAGGATGAAAGTAGCGGCCTGATTGAAGACCCACAACTAACTTTGCAAGTCTAGTTCTATGGCGAAGCACGTTTCTCAATTAATTGTTGAACTGATCGAACTAACTGAGTTCGGCAAACACTAAATTCAAACAACAACTAACAGCATAAATGTTCCAGAAAATTATTATAAATAGTTACTTCTCTACAGTTCTTTTTACACCCCTGATTTTCATTAACACGAGTCTTACAACCACAGCACCTTGGCTTGCCGTAAATCCTCGAATTAGCGCCCCCACTCGAATAAGCGCCCCTCCTATCCGCCAAAATTTAAAATAAGCGCCCCTCTTCGAATAAGCACCCCCCTCCCCTCCCCCCAATTTGTGGGCAAGTAACGAGACAACAAAGGATGTATACTTTTCGTCGTGTAGTATTAGATTTGTATATTGTTACAGTCTGTGAACACGTTAAGTGAACAGGTTGAACACTTTAAGTACTAACGGTGCCGTGATCTAAACTTTAGGATCATAAAGATCAGCTCTTTATGTCGATAAACAGCTATGTTGTTGTTTACGCGCAGATGATGTATTGAAAAAATTGATCATGTCACGCCACTATTTGGGAAAAATTAAATAAGCGCCCCGCCTCGATTAAGCGCCCCCTCGAATAAGTGCCCCCCATTTTCTCCTACATTTTAAATAAGCGCCCCGGGCGCTAATTCGAAGAAGTACGGTAACTAATTAATCAACAGACCAGACTCACTCCTGCAGACTGTGTAATTTTTGTTTGTGGCAGTACCTGGAAAATTGCGATACTTACAATACTGTAATGAGCTAAGTGTATTAGACCACGTTATTTATTTATTTATTTATTTATTTATTTACTCGAATCCGATTACACAAATGATCAAAATAAAACATTAATAAAGGTTACTTACTTTACTTGCTTACTTATAACTCCATCGACTGAAAACTAACACCTTTCACTTTACTCTAAAGATGACTTTCACTCAGGCTGAAGAAACTTCAGTCACCATGACTGTTCTTTTCAAAACCACCCTCACCCCGCCAGACGATTACACAAAACCACTTACAGTGCGGTAGTGAAATTTTAGATTGACGGTCTGCATACCAGCTTTTTGGCTTTTTTGTTCACTCAGTTGTCTGCAGTGGAGTTACAGTCTGTATGCATGCGCACTGATCAGAAACAAGGGTTAGGTTACTTTCTTTTTGTCCCTTGTTATCGGAGCACAATTATTATCACTAAAAGGCAACATTTTTCTTGCAGAGGGATAATTCTATCCACGGGCTAGTTGCCTTTGACATAGCGTGAATCATTGCCTTTCGTCTGTGTAATGCGGTTGCTAACGCCTAGATGGGGCTCGCTTTGAAAAGTCAAGATAATCCGCTTGTAATATAATTTTCCTTTTCCTACTATAAATAACACGCCTTCATGAATTAGTAATGTCGGTATTAAAAGATCTTTCTAAGCCCCCAGGATAAATCTCGTCTCGTAAGGAAATGGGGTTTATAAGCTATTTAATTAAGGCCCGTCGTGCGTACCAGGCGCATACACATGTTCCTTACCTACCTACGTACTTGCTGTTTTCTAGAGTATAGTAGGATAAATCATAACTAGTATCGAGATAAAGTGGTTTTCTTCCGACACTGATCATTTTCTTTCTTCTCACAACCAAATATATCATTGTGTATTGACTTTGTGAAGGAGAGATTTTCCGTTGATCACACTGCAGCTGCATGATAGTAGTTTGAAAGGGCAGCCCAGCAGACAACAACAGAAGTCCACAACCAATGGTTGTTTTCTTGCTAGGGCTAGAGAATTATCAGTCGGAGCCGAGCCCGCTGGTATTTTTGTTGAAGTGTTACTGTTGTTAGCAACATGGTGTGAACACGTCAAGAGACAAATGTGGTGCAACTGGGCAACAAAAGTCGCATGATTTGTTATCAAACATTTGAAGTTTAATAGACAGCAAGGCGAATTATCGGGCTCAACAACACAACTCTAGCTGGTATCATTTTATCGAGTTGTCGAGCAGTGTTTCAATAAATAAGTTTTGAAGGGGACTTAAGCAAATAGTTTTTTTGCCGAAGACACTTCTAGTTTGAAGTCAGTATCTTCCGTCCTATTGCGTCTGTCGAAGACAGATATGTGAAAGGGGACAAGTGACGGAAACCAGGAGAAATGGAGCGGGTGGAAGTGTGATTCCCAACGTGATGGGAACCGGGAAAAGTTAGGGAAGAATTTTGGAGGTAACTTGGGGCAATAGTTTGCCTATTGTGCCATAGATAAAGCACCAAGAGGTAAGAACCACTAACGATGGGCAGGGACCAAGAGTAAAAGGTACGGATGTGGGAAGTTCAGACACCCCTGTGAACCAGTTGTACCGCTCCCTCGAAGGTTGGAGAGAAGTGGGAGAGAAGAGGAAGATAATTTTGTTCAGTGATTTACATATGTGCTCATAAATCATCGATTTAACCACGAATGCTAGCATTTTTGAAGCGTTAAGACCTTCAACCTCTATGTAGAACAAGACTATTAATATATATCCTTCATTCGTCAGAAATTTTTCAGAGAGGAAAAAACGATCGGATGATGCAATCACTTTCCGGTACAGTCTATGAAATTAAAATCTTGGACTTGTTAGAAATTTTTGTGAAAACTAGTCAATCGATGGAGTTATAACGGTCTTAGTGAACACAATCAGTCAGGTCATCAGTTCTTCACGCGGTCTACTTATCTGCAAAACTGAGCATTCCGGCCGAGAATCAACTGTTTTATTTTCCCGATATGTTGTTTATTTAGCCAGATTTTGATTGTCGCTTTGTTGATAAGATCTTTTTCTGAATGACCATGTTTCAGAGACAAGACAACCTTAGTACTTGCTTGTGTTTTCAAGCCCTGGGGCGATAGCTGAAGCAGGCTGCTTGGCGCCAAAGTAATATTTTGCTTAGCAATTAACCAAACTGGTTCTTGGGGGTGAACGACGTGCCAATAAAACAGATAAAAATCGTTCTGTTGAGTAGTTCATATATTTGAAGTTGGTTTATTTTGACCTTAACATGTATCTGGAAAAAACACTTGTGGAATAACCGTTGTCTAAGTTGACGTTATAATATTTGTCTTTAATTACCTTAACCATGAAAACACAACATAACTAATTATAAAGTTTTCTAAGTCAATACTATAGAAATATTTTCTTTCCTTTAGACTGATAAGCCTGAGTAAATTTGGCTAGAGGAAAACGTGGAATTGGAGCCAACTAGACTCATGTTTTTTTTTTTATTATTATTCTTTTCCAAAAAGCCCTTTTCTACAGTAATTTCAATTCGGTTTTGAGCAAAGCCAATATAAGCACGGTTGTTGAGGTAACCCTAGCAACCCTAACTCCTTAAGCGCACGTAAATAGTGTTAAAATGAGCCGGGCTTTGAAAGCCGGAACGAAAACATTTCTTGCAAAAATAAGCTCGAGACTGGGGGGTGTAAAGGAGATGAGGATAAACTTAATACAAAGAAAATCCACAAAAACTCACGAGATGAAAAATCACGACAGATTAGTCAATCACGCGAGCAAATTTATTTAAGGAGACCACGGCACGCGATCCAACATATTGATAAAAGTTCGGAATACTCCTGAAAATGAAAATAAATTCTATAGCATCCTGTAGCTGATTTCATTACCAAAAAATGTTGAGAAATTAAATATGCGCTGTTCTTCAGCGGTAACATTCATGGGTTATTAAAATAAAAAATGTGACAGTTAATTCATTTGGTAGCCGCGATATAATTATCGTTGCCTCGGGGTCAAAAAAGCACGAATTGTATAACGAATAATCAACAGATACAAACTTCAGCGATGAAACAACGATGAAAGGATAATGTACTAGCAAGCATTTTTGGCAAAAATATACGTGTCAAGTTTGTTGACCCACTAGAAAGGCACTTAAATGAATGTATATATAATAATGTTACGTAGATATTAATCTTTGTTCAAATTTTGTAAATAATATGGAATTTATATTTCGGAATATACTTTGACAAGAGAAGATAAAAATAAAAATCTGTTCCCTTGGTCTGATGTTGAATGTCTCAGAGATTTAAGCTTTGCATGCGGGAGACTTTATCAGACGGATCTCTCTTTTTCTGCAAAGTCCAGGTACAATTGGCTTAAATATTAAGCATTTAGTCAAGCAAGAGCTTTAATGATCTCCATGCAATGCATGGCTGAAGATGATTTCTATGATATATATTTAATTTTCCATTACTTAGCTTCACACCGAAGTGTTCTAGAGTCAAGTCAAATGAGAGCTTCAATGTCCACGCGGACATTGGTCATTGGGTAAAGTCCCGATCTTGAGGGTGCACTCATCTTTCTCTTTCTCAGCTTTGGCCTCTTAGAAGCCTTGTCGACTTCATTGCCGTTTTCGTCTTCAGCTGGTTCTTTACCAGTTAGAACAGAACTGCTGGTTGCTCGTTGTTTTGTCGTAGAAGTCGAGTCAGATAGTCCATGATAAAATGGATCTGGTTTAGTGTTCAGTGACTCTAGGGCTGACGGAAACGAAGCCGCGGACCTTCTCGGCGGAGGCAAGGGCGCGGACGGCGCATTTACTGTTTCTTTTTTCTTTTGTTTTCCATTTTCAGAGTCGACGTTTTCTTTTGGTATGTAAAACATTGGCATTGAAGGGAATTTATACAAACGTTGCGAACTCACGGGATCCCGCTGGGGATTACTCGACGAGCGTTCTAAGGATTCTTTTTTCGCGACACAATTTCCCTGTGCGGGATCAATAAACTCTTTCGTGAACCACTCGGCTTCTTCCGCAGTACGGGCGAAACTGTAACGTGATCTACGTTCGTTTTCGACGGGCTTGTTTGCGGTTTCATCGTCCATTGACGATCTGCACGAGTCAGTCGGAGTTGTCGATCTTTCGGCCTCGTCAGTTTTGTAATCTTCATCCTGTGAGGAAATGATGACAATGGGTTGTAGCTCTGCTATCTGAACAGACTGAGCACCGTTAGTTTCGTTTGTGTTCGCTTTTTTCGACAGCTGAACTGTTTTGTCGCCGAGATTCTCTTTTTCCACGTCTCCTTCCCGCAAGATTTGTTTCTTTTTGTTTGCATGTCGCACGCACTCGACGGCGAAAGCGGAAAGATCAGCATCTTTGAACTTTAAATATTGTCTCATGCTTTCTCGAACTCTCAAATCGGGGACGACCTTTAAAGAACTTCCATTGGGATCTGTCATTTGCTTTCTCAATCCTGGACGTTCAAGCTTTTTCCCTGGTCCATCTCTTGGCCTGTTTTGACTATTTTCTGAAAGTTTAGAATTGTCAGTGTCATTTTGCCTTTCTGCTAATTCCGATTTGCCTGAACGATTTTTGATAGTAGCTTCCAGCGAATATTCACCCTTGCCTTTGTTTTTCATTGAGTCATAGTGATTTTTTTTGCTGTTAGTTTGGGTTGTCCTTTTATTCTGAATCGGACATTGTTCAATGAGAGTTTCGCATAGCAAAACTTCCTGCAACGTGACGGATCTGCGGCCATTCTTGTGTGGGTGTACATACTTTCTACTCTGATCACGAATTGGGCAACTAGATTCAAAAATAACGTCATCGAGGTCTTCCATCTGATTCTCCGAACACAGCTCATTTGATTTTTCGGGGTTGTCAATCATCAATTTAGCATCCCCGTCTGCCATATTGACACTTGCGTCTGACTCGGTACTTAAGCTGCTATTTCTGTTCTGGTGGAATCCAGACTCGCTACCATCACGGGAGAGTTTGTTCAATAAACACTGATTCCCGTTTTCATCCAATTCTTCGTTGTCTTTTTGGGAATTGTTTCTTGATCTCTGCCCACNAATTAACTTAATTAACTCACAATGGTCCGTGGCTGGACTTGATGTTGACCTTGAACCGAGAAAGGCTGTAAAGAATGAGAGGAAGAAAAATGCGGTTGCCGCCGGCCGGCTCGATTAGAGTATTGTGCAAAAGATCCAACAAAGATTCCTTGAGACAAGAAAGGTTTCGTTTATTATCGGTGGTCGAAGAAGCACTGAATGTAGCTCAAGTAGAGGAAGGACCGTGACGACAGTGAAACTAAAGAACTCGTTTCCGCGAAGGATGGACTGTACAGAGCATCTTGCCATAGAAACAAGACCCCTACTGCAGCAGAGAAACAGGTAAGCTTACTGTACCTAGCTGGCCTTGAGCTAAAAGAATTGGGAGAAGTCGTTTAAGACAATTTACACAAAGAGACTAGTGGTTCCGAGGATAAGGACGGAATCTGATTAACACTTATGATTAACTCGGTACATGTGGTGGGTTTGGCCAGGTACGTGCAGGGACTTGACTGTCATGGAAAGTTCTTGGGCCGCACACGATCAGAAATCTACTTTAGGTGGACAGGAAAAAACATATCATGTTTAAAGCCTATTCAGAAAAACTTAAGCACAAGGTATAGGTTTAAAAGCCCATAAACGTGCAAGGTCTCAGTTCAAGGAGAAATGTCAGGGCATAACGCATTGGTGTCAGAGAGAATTTCGAGTGAGCGAGCTATAAAGGAAGCATGCGAATATTTTTTATGATACCAATGATGATGTCACAGACCTCTCACCTGGCACAAATATATGCCCTACCACTCAGTCTGTTCTGAGTGTTAAAACTTCGGCTTAAGCACAACAACCTACAACTGCAAACCTTACTCAAGAGTCATTCGCTTTTACCGCTCATCAAATTCCTTCACAGAAGGAGTTGGCCCTTGTAGCCAGTTCAGCTACTTCATGGACTAAGAACATTGAAACAGACAATCAGATTTGAATTAAATGTGGCCAGAGCCCCTTCACAGAAATCCATGTCATAAATGAGGAAACAAACCAAGAAATGGGAAGCGACTGAGCAGTGCTGATCTTTAGAATATTAGTGAGGAAGTGGCAAAAAATGTGCTAGCAGTCGTAATCCAGTCCAAATTCCAAAAATTGGAAGGGCTCTGGAATTAAAAACTGTTTCTGAGGGTATAGATGGAGGTGTGAATTTTGCAGTTGTTGACAGTTAGACACAATCTGTTGGAAACAGTAAAGGATGAAAGTAGCGGCCTGATTGAAGACCCACAACTAACTTTGCAAGTCTAGTTCTATGGCGAAGCACGTTTCTCAATTAATTGTTGAACTGATCGAACTAACTGAGTTCGGCAAACACTAAATTCAAACAACAACTAACAGCATAAATGTTCCAGAAAATTATTATAAATAGTTACTTCTCTACAGTTCTTTTTACACCCCTGATTTTCATTAACACGAGTCTTACAACCACAGCACCTTGGCTTGCCGTAAATCCTCGAATTAGCGCCCCCACTCGAATAAGCGCCCCTCCTATCCGCCAAAATTTAAAATAAGCGCCCCTCTTCGAATAAGAACCCCCTCCCCTCCCCCCAATTTGTGGGCAAGTAACGAGACAACAAAGGATGTATACTTTTCGTCGTGTAGTATTAGATTTGTATATTGTTACAGTCTGTGAACACGTTAAGTGAACAGGTTGAACACTTTAAGTACTAACGGTGCCGTGATCTAAACTTTAGGATCATAAAGATCAGCTCTTTATGTCGATAAACAGCTATGTTGTTGTTTACGCGCAGATGATGTATTGAAAAAATTGATCATGTCACGCCACTATTTGGGAAAAATTAAATAAGCGCCCCGCCTCGATTAAGCGCCCCCTCGAATAAGTGCCCCCCATTTTCTCCTACATTTTAAATAAGCGCCCCGAGCGCTAATTCGAAGAAGTACGGTAACTAATTAATCAACAGACCAGACTCACTCCTGCAGACTGTGTAATTTTTGTTTGTGGCAGTACCTGGAAAATTGCGATACTTACAATACTGTAATGAGCTAAGTGTATTAGACCACGTTATTTATTTATTTATTTATTTATTTATTTACTCGAATCCGATTACACAAATGATCAAAATAAAACATTAATAAAGGTTACTTACTTTACTTGCTTACTTATAACTCCATCGACTGAAAACTAACACCTTTCACTTTACTCTAAAGATGACTTTCACTCAGGCTGAAGAAACTTCAGTCACCATGACTGTTCTTTTCAAAACCACCCTCACCCCGCCAGACGATTACACAAAACCACTTACAGTGCGGTAGTGAAATTTTAGATTGACGGTCTGCATACCAGCTTTTTGGCTTTTTTGTTCACTCAGTTGTCTGCAGTGGAGTTACAGTCTGTATGCATGCGCACTGATCAGAAACAAGGGTTAGGTTACTTTCTTTTTGTCCCTTGTTATCGGAGCACAATTATTATCACTAAAAGGCAACATTTTTCTTGCAGAGGGATAATTCTATCCACGGGCTAGTTGCCTTTGACATAGCGTGAATCATTGCCTTTCGTCTGTGTAATGCGGTTGCTAACGCCTAGATGGGGCTCGCTTTGAAAAGTCAAGATAATCCGCTTGTAATATAATTTTCCTTTTCCTACTATAAATAACACGCCTTCATGAATTAGTAATGTCGGTATTAAAAGATCTTTCTAAGCCCCCAGGATAAATCTCGTCTCGTAAGGAAATGGGGTTTATAAGCTATTTAATTAAGGCCCGTCGTGCGTACCAAGCGCATACACATGTTCCTTACCTACCTACGTACTTGCTGTTTTCTAGAGTATAGTAGGATAAATCATAACTAGTATCGAGATAAAGTGGTTTTCTTCCGACACTGATCATTTTCTTTCTTCTCACAACCAAATATATCATTGTGTATTGACTTTGTGAAGGAGAGATTTTCCGTTGATCACACTGCAGCTGCATGATAGTAGTTTGAAAGGGCAGCCCAGCAGACAACAACAGAAGTCCACAACCAATGGTTGTTTTCTTGCTAGGGCTAGAGAATTATCAGTCGGAGCCGAGCCCGCTGGTATTTTTGTTGAAGTGTTACTGTTGTTAGCAACATGGTGTGAACACGTCAAGAGACAAATGTGGTGCAACTGGGCAACAAAAGTCGCATGATTTGTTATCAAACATTTGAAGTTTAATAGACAGCAAGGCGAATTATCGGGCTCAACAACACAACTCTATCTGGTATCATTTTATCGAGTTGTCGAGCAGTTTTTCAATAAATAAGTTTTGAAGGGGACTTAAGCAAATAGTTTTTTTTGCCTAAGACACTTCTAGTTTGAAGTCAGTATCTTCCGTCCTATTGCGTCTGTCGAAGACAGATATGTGAAAGGGGACAAGTGACGGAAACCAGGAGAAATGGAGCGGGTGGAAGTGTGATTCCCAACGTGATGGGAACCGGGAAAAGTTAGGGAAGAATTTTGGAGGTAACTTGGGGCAATAGTTTGCCTATTGTGCCATAGATAAAGCACCAAGAGGTAAGAACCACTAACGATGGGCAGGGACCAAGAGTAAAAGGTACGGATGTGGGAAGTTCAGACACCCCTGTGAACCAGTTGTACCGCTCCCTCGAAGGTTGGAGAGAAGTGGGAGAGAAGAGGAAGATAATTTTGTTCAGTGATTTACATATGTGCTCATAAATCATCGATTTAACCACGAATGCTAGCATTTTTGAAGCGTTAAGACCTTCAACCTCTATGTAGAACAAGACTATTAATATATATCCTTCATTCGTCAGAAATTTTTCAGAGAGGAAAAAACGATCGGATGATGCAATCACTTTCCGGTACAGTCTATGAAATTAAAATCTTGGACTTGTTAGAAATTTTTGTGAAAACTAGTCAATCGATGGAGTTATAACGGTCTTAGTGAACACAATCAGTCAGGTCATCAGTTCTTCACGCGGTCTACTTATCTGCAAAACTGAGCATTCCGGCCGAGAATCAACTGTTTTATTTTCCCGATATGTTGTTTATTTAGCCAGATTTTGATTGTCGCTTTGTTGATAAGATCTTTTTCTGAATGACCATGTTTCAGAGACAAGACAACCTTAGTACTTGCTTGTGTTTTCAAGCCCTGGGGCGATAGCTGAAGCAGGCTGCTTGGCGCCAAAGTAATATTTTGCTTAGCAATTAACCAAACTGGTTCTTGGGGGTGAACGACGTGCCAATAAAACAGATAAAAATCGTTCTGTTGAGTAGTTCATATATTTGAAGTTGGTTTATTTTGACCTTAACATGTATCTGGAAAAAACACTTGTGGAATAACCGTTGTCTAAGTTGACGTTATAATATTTGTCTTTAATTACCTTAACCATGAAAACACAACATAACTAATTATAAAATTTTCTAAGTCAATACTATAGAAATATTTTCTTTCCTTTAGACTGATAAGCCTGAGTAAATTTGGCTAGAGGAAAACGTGGAATTGGAGCCAACTAGACTCATGTTTTTTTTTTTATTATTATTCTTTTCCAAAAAGCCCTTTTCTACAGTAATTTCAATTCGGTTTTGAGCAAAGCCAATATAAGCACGGTTGTTGAGGTAACCCTAGCAACCCTAACTCCTTAAGCGCACGTAAATAGTGTTAAAATGAGCCGGGCTTTGAAAGCCGGAACGAAAACATTTCTTGCAAAAATAAGCTCGAGACTGGGGGGTGTAAAGGAGATGAGGATAAACTTAATACAAAGAAAATCCACAAAAACTCACGAGATGAAAAATCACGACAGATTAGTCAATCACGCGAGCAAATTTATTTAAGGAGACCACGGCACGCGATCCAACATATTGATAAAAGTTCGGAATACTCCTGAAAATGAAAATAAATTCTATAGCATCCTGTAGCTGATTTCATTACCAAAAAATGTTGAGAAATTAAATATGCGCTGTTCTTCAGCGGTAACATTCATGGGTTATTAAAATAAAAAATGTGACAGTTAATTCATTTGGTAGCC